TTGTTGAAACATATTGAAAATCGAATCGCAGTTCTCGGAAAATCGCAATTGGCAATCCTATTTTTTACAAAATCACTATAAAAGAAAGAATATTTGCAGCTTTACGATACTTTTTTTTAGTGTGTTAGTTAAAGTTTCAGATATTATAAGACCAGGTTTGTTCTAAGTAAAAGACAGTAGGCATCTAAGTGTGTTTTTGTTAAAACTGCACTATGTAACTCTTCTGTTGGGGGTCCATCACCTGCTTGTTTCCATGGATACGTCATTTCTCTGCCTGGAAAGTTCCACAGTATCACATTAAACAGCTCTGCCTTACATTTATCCAATTACAGGTGGTTTTATAGCTCAAAAATACCTTAAAAAAACAAGCATTTTGACTGTGAGCGGGGTCGCCTCTCCACAGATTTGGCTTTTAACTTGGTCTGGTTTGGTCTCCATGACGACAGGAAGGTTTAATGCCATACTGTGAAACATTCCAGGCAAAGCGATAACATTTCCAAGTAGTATTTGACCAGAAAAGTTGCATGGCAGGTTGACAAAAATACCAAAATATCAGTATATCGTATCATTTAATGTGATGATACAGTATCGATATCATGGGCTGCTGTATCGATATATCGGCAAGAGTATTTTTTGGTATATTTTACTAGATTATTTTGTTACAGCTACAGTTTTGTTGCTTGTTTAGAGAAAGGAAACTTATTTATGCGACACATTTGACATTTTCACAGTTTTAATGATTAAAATTGGTGTTTTTCATATTAACTTTTCACAAGAAGTGGGTTAACAAAGATTTTTAGTATCACAGACATGATTTAGCCTTTATTTTTTTATTGAACTGTATCGAATCGATTTGAAAAATATCGTATTGAACCAAAAGTGCACTGTATCGAGGTAAGTATCGTATCAGCAACTTCTTAATGATACCCAGGCCTAGTGGCAGGACTTTTTTTTTTTAATATTTGGACCATTTCTGTTCTTTCTGAAACAGTTTACATAATCACAGTTTACTTTTAGTTTAGAATATTTTTATGGAGCTCCACAGAGACCGCCCACTCCGAGTCCAGAAGTACATTTTCCATTCATTTTTGCCTTCTCCTAGACACAGAAAACTTCAAGTATTACAATTTAAAGACGGAGTTTAAGCCAATATGTTTTAACTATATCAAAATGTGGTTGTTTATAGTTCAAAAAGCGCATTTAAAACAAAGATACAGTGGAAAGTTTTAGTAATTTAGCAGCAGAAGTGGGACCAAGTCGTTGTTTTGCAAGTCTCAAGTAAGTCCCAAGTCCGAGTCAAGTCCCAGGTCAGGTACAGGCAAGTCCAAGTCGAGTCTCGAGTCACTGACCCAGAAGTCCTGATACAGTGAGCTTTCGATTTGATACGATTCAATAACTCGTGTCTGTCTTTGTTAAACCACTTCTTGTGCAAAGTGAATATCGAACACGCCCATTTTACTCATCGAAACAGTGAAAATGTCAAATGTGTCGCATAAAAATGTTTCCTTCCTCCAAACAAGCAACAAAACTGTAGCTGTAACAAAATAAGTATTAAAATCTATTGTGACGGAGCAATATCGTTCATTTGTTTTTCAATATAAAACCAAAAATAAGAAAACGAAAAAACAACAGTTTTCTTCATTATTTGTCTCCAAAACCAAACTGAAAAAACAGATAATGATTCGTTTTTTCAGTTTTCGTGTTCAATTTTGTGTTTAAATGACAAATGGAAAAAACGGATAACGGCCGTTTCCTGTTTACGTGACTGTGATGCTGAACTTGCATCAAAAACTGAACCAGGACTGATCCAGGTCCGGGACCAGACCGAGACCAGACCGAGACCAGACCGAGACCAGACCGGGACCAGACCGAGACTGAGACCAGACCGGGACCAGACCGAGACTGAGACCAGACCGGGACCAGACCGAGACTGAGACCAGACCGGGACCAGAATGGGACTGAGACCGAGACCAGACCAGGACCAGGCCGGGACCAGACCGAGACCAGACCAAGACCAGACCGGGACCAGACCGAGACCAGACCGGGACCAGACCGAGACCAGACCGGGACCAGACCGGGACCAGACCGGGACCAGACCGGGACTGAGACCAGACCGGGACCAGACCGAGACTGAGACCAGACCGGGACCAGACCGAGACTGAGACCAGACCGGGACCAGAATGGGACTGAGACCGAGACCAGACCAGGACCAGGCCGGGACCAGACCAGGACTGAGACCGGAACTGAAACTGGAACTGAGACCGGGACCAGACCGGGACCAGACAAGAGGCTGAGGCTCGGACCCCGCAGAGGCTCGTAGTCAAAGCTCGGAGTCCGCCCTGATTCCGCTCTGGTCCCGCTCTGGTCCCGCTCTGGTCCCGCTCTGGTCCCGCTCTGGTCCCGCTCTGGTCCCGCTCTGGTCCCAGACTTAGATCAGTCCTGGTTCAGTCCGTATGCTTTGCAAAAGTCTGGCATCGCAGTCACGGAAGTCACGTAAACGGGAAACGGTCATTATCCGTTTTTTCCATTATTTATTTAAACACAAAATCGAAAACTGAAAAAAACGAATCATTATCCGTTTTTTCATTTTGGTTTTGGAGACAAAGAAAACAGTTGTTTTTTCGTTTTCTTATTTTTGGTTTTATATTGAAAAACTAATGGATTCAGAGTGCCCGTGTTGCCCAGCACTCTTACCTGCGGCGTTCTCTGGTTCGGGGACCAAAACCGAGGCACTTCCTGCTTGTGCTTTAAATAGCGCATAGTGACGCCCTAAAGGTGGACATGTGATCTCGGACTCGATCACTGCGGTCTATTTGGGGTGTTATTTAGTTTTTTTAAGTTATTTATTTGAATTTAAGATAACCATATGAGGGATTCTTTAAGTTATTTTTATTATGTTTATTTCCAAGTTGATTTGTGTTCATCAGTACAGTTCTGCTCATGTTAATTCCTTTAGAACCCCATTTTTCGTTAATTGGTTTAGCCCAGTGGGAGGGGCTAAGGGGTATATAAGGAGGAAGCTGCAGTCATTTGTCTGTCTGTTTTTGGCCTTGGTAAGTGCGATTACTGTAAATATTGTTGTAAATACTTCTTTTTTCTTTTTTTTTTAACTCTACCACCTCATTTTTCACTGTAAATATTCCACTCTGCACATTGGGCTGTGGTGTGAATAAAAACGCACTTAAGTAAAGTTTTTTTTTCGACGAACCCTTGACTTCTATCAAAAATACTCTTGGCTAGGGCTGCTCGATTATGGAAAAAAATCATTATTACGATTATTTTGGTCGATATTGAAATCATGATTATTCAAACGATTATTTTTTTTCATTACACAATGCATTTATTCAGCATTTCTCTCTCAAAAAAACACTTTGTTATTGATAATTTACACAAAACTTTCAAATTCAATATAAATTTAGGCTACAAATATGAACCTTAGAGCAGTTTTGTGACGTATAAAACACAAAATGAATAAAATAAACTTTCTCAAGTGTCTCGACTCACTGACCCATAAGTCCAAGTCGAGTCCAAGTCGTCTGCTTCGAGCTTCAAATCATTTCAAGTCTTTAAACCAAAAAAGTATCAAATAGGAGATTGGGAGTTTAAGGAAAAAAAAAAATCGATTCAGTGATATATCGTGATACTTCATCTCACAATTCTCAGATTGATTTAAAATGCATCCGAATCGTTTTTTAAAATAATATTCTTCACAAAAATGCATTAGTTACGCTCGCTGTTCTCATGATTTAAAAGAAAATAATCAATTATATTTCATACATTTGTGTTTTCTTGAAGGTGTAGAAGTAATTATTGATAAATTGCAATATATCGTCCATTGTTTTAGTATCGGGATGTATCGTGATATATTGAATCGCATCGTCAGACTCAAGGCAGTGCACATCCCAACCAAATATAGCTCAGATTTTTGCAATTTATATACATTTTAAGATAAATTGTACTTAAAAAAACATAGTATATTGATATATGAGTATTTATAGAGTATGTAAGAGTTGTACAAATGTTATTTGTTCCTTTTAAATGTCTTGACAAGATCTTAGTGTGAATCATTATGCTCCGAAGAGAAAGAATTCAGATTTAAAAGTGCTTCTCAAGTCAAGTCTGAGTCGAGTCCCAAGTCTTAGTCCATTTTATCAAGTCAAGTCTCAAGTCCTAAAAATAGTGGCTCAAGTCTGACTTATACAAGCGGCTTATAAAATTTCAGAAACAGACTTTAAATAAAATTATCGGTGGTTATTGCAGTCGTTCGTTAACATGTCGCTGATTTTCCCGGTGCAAGATTTCGGGCTTTAAATCTAATCTTTTTTTTTTTTTTTTTGGAAAGTCTATAAGAAAAATGAATGAAAAAATGAAAATGAATGAGAAATTTAGTTCCAGAAATACGAGGTGAGCTCCAGAAAACTGGCAACTCCATTTGAAAAAATAAAACCTACTCAACATGACATAAAGAAATATCTATTTACTTCCAAAAAATGTACAAATGCAAACCAAAACACGTGCATACTAACTATTTTAAATCGTATTTTCCATGTCAATTATTTAAAAAATGTTAAAAAGCAACAATAAAAAGTCATCAATCGTGCAAAAATGTTTACTGGCAACTTTATAGGTAAAAAAAAACGTGCATTTCCTTAATCAAATCTTACGCAAACCACGTTCCTTTTCACGCAAGTCTAAACTTTAAGTGAGCAGCGTGTCCTGTGGAAGTACCCGGATTCCCTGTGGAGCGCGTGCAGCTAATTTATTGCATATAGCGTTTTAATTAGCGTGATCGATACTCCGATTAGAGAGGATTTAGGTGGGAAGAGAACGCAAAATCAGACGGAACACTTCGCACTCCGCAAGCCCCCTGCTCTTAAATAATTGATACCACGAGACGATCCGGTGGAGAAACGCGATCGCTCGAGAGTTCGTAGCGCGGCTGTCAAGTTGGGGGGAAAAACGCGATCGGATTTTTTTGGGGAGGGGGAAGTCGGTGTTACCTTTGCGCGGCGATCCTCGGGAATTGGGTTCACTTTGGCTGCACGCCGGTCCACGTTGAACCAAATCCCGCGCTCGTCTTCCCGTGGAGGTGGAGGAGGTGGAGGTGGTGGTGGTGGTGGTTTTGAGAGTGGAGGACGTGGAGTCTCATCACTGACGCATCGCCAAAGCAAAGAAGACGCCGAGCGAGAGGACGCGGCGCGGAACTCCGAGGCGCTTCGCTGTTCAGGTCTGAAAGCGCAGGAGCCCGAGCTGCGCGTGTTATTGTGGACTGGAGGAGAGAGTGAGGAGAGAGAGGACAGGAGAGAGGAGAGAGAGAGAGAGAGAGAGGAGAGAGAGAGGAGAGAGAGGAGGGATGGTGACGCGACAGAGGGAGAGAGAGAGAGAGAAAGAGAGAGAGAGAGGAGGGAGGAGAGAAAGAGGAGGAGCAGTCCGGTGCCATCAGCTGAACAGCGAAGGTGTGTTTTTTTGTATCGTTTTTTTTTTTTTTTTTCTTGTTAATTTTATTATTATTATTATTATTATTATTATTATTATTGTTGTTGTATTTTGTTAAATTATTTTTATTTATTTTATTATTATTTTTTGTTTATTATTATTATTATTATTATTAGTAGTAGTAGTAGTAGTAGTAGTAGTAGTAGTAGTAGTAGTAGTAGTAGTAGTAGTATTTTAATCTTTATTATCTTTTTTTTTAAGAGGAAAGAGGAGGACCAGTCTGGTGCCATCAGTTGCCATCGTATTTATTTATTTATTTTATTTGTTTGTTTTTTTTTTTAGTTTTTTTTTTTTTCAAATAATTTTTATTATTATTTTTTTTCATATCAAGTAAAATTATTATTATCATTATTATTATTATTATTATTATTATTATTTTATATATTTTTTATTATTTTATTTTATTATTATTTATTTTTTTTTTAAGAGGAAAGAAGAGTATCATCAGTTGAACAGCGGTGTTTTTTTGTTTGTTTGTTTGGTTGTTTTGTATTTTTTCTTTATTTTTTATCTTTTTATTTTTTATACTTATTTCTTTTTTCTTTTTTTTAATCTTTTTTTTTTTTTTTTACCTTTTTTCATCTTTTTATCTTTTTTTTTTTTTTTTTATTATATATTGCCACCTTTGCACTGCAACAAGGACTGCACTCCATTTCGTTGTGTCTTAGTGTCGTAGTCAAGACGACACTAATCGAGACCAAGACCAGTCCGAGACCACAGGATCCCAAGACCAGGACAAGACCAAGACCTCTGAGGGTCAAGACTGAGACCACGGCCCATCGAGACCAAATCAGACCATTTTTGTCATTTTCTACATTTATTTGTATTTTGGCACATATATATCAATGTTTTTATAAATCTATCTCCATTCTATCTGATTCATTTAAAGTTAAAACAGGCCAAACAAACTGTACTGCACTGAAACACTCTGCCCCACTTTTTTAGACCCTCACCCACAGTTTGAGAACCCAGTTTTTACAAGTTCATAACATTTACAGTTACAATATTTTACAGGTTTTGCAGTGATGTTGAGCCTCTGCACATTTACCGACTGTAATGAAATATGATCACACTCGTCAAGTGTCAGACCTTGAGTCCGAGACAAGACTGAGACCAAGAGCCATCAAGACCGAGACAAGACCGAGTCCAAATACGCTTCAGTAAATAAGCAGTCTCAAGGCTGATCTTGAGTACTGCTCCACTATTGTATCTGTCTGTACAATGACAAATAAAGATATTCTGTACTATTCTGTTGAGTTCTTTATTCTATTCATTCCTGCTGATGTGCAGAGTCGTCCTGCAGCCTAAACTCAAACATGGTAGTGATTATTTTAATAAATTCTTGAACTAACAGGGCATTTCTACTGTACATTGAGATTTTAACGACTTGTTTTTAAGTGTGAAGAATCCCTCAGTCGTCCAGGTAAAATCCATGATGAGGAGAAAATTCAAATTTGTCGACTGGACAAAAGTTAGTTTGGTTGAAGATGTTTCACAGCTCATCCAAGCTGCTTCTTCAGTTCTGGTCAGACGCTGGTGGACACTTCCTTATATCTGTCCACAGGGAGGAGCTAACTACACTGAAACTAAGGCTGTGTTCAGACTGCAGCCTGAAGTGACCCAAATCCGATTTTTTGCCCCTATGTGACCTGTATCTGATCTTTTAATGACAGTCTGAACGACACAGGTCCGATTTTTTCAAATGTGACCCAGGCCACTTGGACATGTGCTCCTGAAACCGATACATATCTGAGCTTTTGACATGCGACTTCAGTGTGAACGGCCAAAGCACATTCACCCACCTACACGTTATCAAAAAGCCACAAACGTCACTATTCTGCACTGAAGTAAGCGAAAATTGTTAATGAACTCCGTGTCACTGAAGTGAAGCACATCACCACTCACCACTCTTGGCTCCGTCTCCACATCCACACGTTCCTTTCAACGGACGTCACTGCCGCTGCCCCACAAAACACCACGGCCAAAAACCTCGTCCTTCTCCTTCTCAATCTCCTCCTTAAAACAAGTAAGTTGTTCATGTTCTGGCTCCGGTACGAGAGGAACTTTAAAATCTCCAGGTGCTCAATGCTGCGTCCATGTTTGGACAACTTCTGTAAACACAGAGACGCTCGCTGCGGTTGACGTCGTCGTGTCTCCAGTGCACATGTGGGACACTTTCGGGCCATTTAATGTTCACACTGTAGTTCACATACAAGTCGCATTTAATTGGAAATGTGAGCGACCTCGCAAAAACATCAGATTTCACCAAAAAATCGGAATTGAGCGTTAAGCCCTGCAGTCTGAACGTAGCCTAACACATCTACTTGTTTACAGTTTCTGTTTGTTAGTTCGGCCTGTTGACCTGTACTGGGTTTGGGGTCTAATTAGTAGAATCATTCAGGGCCATAATGGAGCTTCCACACCTCTGGACCTGACCTGGATACACCTGTTGTTCTCTTGTTTGGTTTGATTTAGGTTTGAGGATGGAGTTGTAAATAGGAGATAGATTGGTGTCTGAGGCCTTCATTTCTGTTTAGAGGAGGATTCTCTTTCTTAACAAAAATGGCTTCTTTCACTCCCCTCTCAGACCAGTTCTTTTCTCTGGCTAAAATCTGTACCTCGCTGTCCTCAAATGAGTGGCCCGTGGCTATTAAGTGGAGATATACAGCAGACTGAGGTCCTGTGTTGCTCTCTCATCTCCTCGCCATGACTTGTTTTGAACTAAATACAGGTTAAAATAGTGACTGGGGGATTCTGGTTTAAAGGTCCTGTATTAATGTAAATATTCTTGTGAGCCATGTTATAATGCTGCCTCCTCAGAAACATATTTTGTACTTCTGTTTTGTTTTATCTGTACAAATTTGAGTAATTCTTTATTATTAGTCTGTCTATGTCTCCAAAGCTGAAAATGCTCTGTTCCACCTTGTGATGTCATGAAGTGGCAGGCTAGTTTTCAAATTAACATCTGCCTTTTACCTTTTGTCCAGCAGAGATTGGCAATTCCAGGGCTGAAATTATCCAAATTATTCTAGTGAAAGTGTGTGGAGTTTAAAAACACAGTAGAGCACTTCCTGTATTACCACATGATGACATCACGAGGTGGAACAGCGTGTTTTCAGTGTGAGAGAAGACCTCAGCTTAAATATGCAGGATTCGTGTGTTGAACATGTGAGAATGGAACAAACCTGATGAAGAACCAAGATGATAACTTTGATCAGAAAATAGCATAAAACAGTTCCTTTAATGCCATACTGTGGAATATTCTGGAGAACACAATAACATTTCGATGGAGACAAGCTGAAAAATTATAGTTCACCTTTAATCTCCAATGAAATATGCATTTGGCAAGAACCACCGCCCGTAATAAACTGTGCAATTTTATCACCATTCTCCCTGTAGCCGGAGCTTTTACATGATTGGACGATGACTTGAGTGACTTGACAGTGAGAATGAAAACATACGAAAGCTTATATTTTTATTTTATTTTGTCATAAAAGACATATCTAAATAGAAGAAACAGAAAATCTGACACTGCAAGTCTTGTCTTTTTTTTTTTTTTTTTTTTTTTTACTTATTTTTTATCTTGTTAAATTATCTTTTATCTTTAAAAAAAAAAGATTTATTTTTATCTTTATTTAAGAAGAAAAAACAGTGAAAGGTGCATTTTTTTTAAATAATTAAAAACATATTTTTTTTTAAAGAGGAAAGTGGAGGAGCAGTCCGGTGCCATCAGTTGAACAGCAAAGGTGCATTTTTGTTTTTCTTTTTGTTTGTTTGTGTTTCATTTTTATTAATTATTTTTTTATCTTTTTTTTTTATCTTGTTAAATTATCTTTTATCTTTTTAAAAATCTATATTTTATTTTATTTCATCTTTTTTTAAGAAGAAAGAGGAGGAACCACAAAGGTGCATTTTTTTCTGTCTTTTTTTTTACTTTTTTTTTTTTTTTTTTAAATCTTGTTGAATTATTTATCTTTTTAAAAATCTTTCTTATCTTTTTTTTTAAGAGGAAATTGGAGGAACAGTCCGGTCCCATCAGTTGAACAGCGAAAGTGCTTTTTGTATCCTTTTTTAAATCTTATTTTATTTTTTTAATTTTTTTTTAATTTTTATTTATTGATAGATTTTTTTTTCTTTTGGTCAATATTCATAAGTATAAAAGACATATCTAAATAGAAGAAACAGCAAATCTGAGACTGGAAGTCTGTAAGTTTTACCTTCAATCAAACGTGACAGATTTGCACCATAAACAATGTTAGTTTTTTCCATTCTGTTTTCAAAAGCCCTGTTAGTTTCTGTGCGTTGCTCAAGGACAGAGCAATGTGAACGGGGAGGAGTCAGACTTGAACTCACCTTGACCCCAGCTCCATGGCCCACTGCACCACCACTGCAGTGTTTGGTCAGAATGAGAAACAGAATAACTTTAATATGTGTTTATACCAGCAAAGAACGAAAAGGCAAGTCGAAAAGAACAGGAAAAGGGTCCAGTTTTGCCTTACAGTGTAATGGTACCATATGGAAATTTCAAACTAGGTTCCTGAAGTAAATTCCTCATTAATTTTTCACTGAGACATTCGGAAAAAAAATAATTTTGAAAACCTGGAAAGCTTGCTCAGGGCTAATCAGCTCTGAGGTAACTAATGAGCCCAAGACCTATAATAAAAATCTGTTTCTGAAATGTTAGAAACCACTAAGTTATTAAAACATTCCACAGAATCTTGCGTTTTAAGTGTGTTTTTTGGACGTAAAGCAACTGTGTTATTA